TGTGTGTATAGAGTACAGGGTGTGGGTTCTGGAGCCGCGGCTGGTCCAGCAGTACACAGCCAGTGTTTCTATACTCAATCTGAACTTCTCTGTCAGTCTGTCGAGCCACGAGAGCTCAGAGTTCAGAGCGGCGGCTGCGTCTGTGCAGAACATGGTGAGTCTGAACATCACAGTCCTTCCTCTGATCAAACCAGCACAACACAGCTGGAAAACCAGCCCGGTTTAGTCAGGTCAAGCTGGCACACCACCGATACAGTTAACTCTAACTAGCTGTTTTACACTAGAACATGTCATAATAGGCAAATCTAACAACCCTGGTCTGGATGATCTTATAGAGAGGAATCCTGAGAACTGCTGCTGGTGAGTTTGAATGCACAGATGCACACAGAACGTGGTTTGTTTTCTCTCTGACAGGTGGAGAAGCTGCTTAAGTGCACAGACCTGTCCAGATACTTCAACTCCAGCGCAGTGTTTGCGTTCGGGTGAGGAGCGCTGCTCTCCGTCCCTCTGTGTTTCATGAGCAGAGGTCTGCAGCATCTTCATCTGTTCCTCTGGTGTTCCTGTAGGAACGGCAGTGTGGTGGCTCATCTCTGGCTGCGTCTGTCGGTTCCTAGCAGTCGTGTGGAGACGGTGAGCATCCAGCGACTGAATGAGAGTGTGTTCAGAGAACTGCAGCGCTTCAGCGACGCTCAGCAGATCAGCAGATACGAGGGTTTCCATCTGCTGCTGCCCTCGCTCAGCTTCACCGGTAACATCACCTTCACTGTCAGACAGACACATGTGTGATGACTTCTGCTGTGTTTTTGTTCACTTGTTTTTACTGCTTTGTGTTGATTTGTGTTTTTCTACTTTCCAGAAACCCACCCCAAAGTTATAGATCTTTTTCAAGCTACATTTGGTATGATTTTGATTTTGTTTTGTTTTTTCTAATTTTGCGGTGTGATTTTTAAAACAATAATTCAAAGGTTTTAATTCATTTTCACGCATTTTGATCACATCTTTTATATCAGTTTTGATAATAAAGTGGCATCAAACAGTATTAAATCACACTTGAAAATCATTTATTAGATCACAAAATTCACACCAGGTGTCATTTACTGCAAAGAAAGGCAACAAACACACTTTACAGTCAGAGCATTTGATTTGTTGGGTTTGAACTGCCAAATAAATAGATGTAATGCTGAAGATGAAGACAGTCAGGATTGTGTTTGTTTGTGGTTGATGTTGATAGTTAATGTGATTTTCTGTTAAGTGAATTGGCTTCATACATCCAATAAAAACCACCAAAACACCAGCTGAGTTTGTTTGTTCATAGGAACTGATTTGTAGAAATGTAGCATTGCATCAGTGTCTCAGCAATGGATGCTCTGCAGTGAATGGGTGCCGTCAGAATGAGAGTCCAAACAGCTGATAAAAACATCACAATAATCCACAAGTAATCCACAGCACTCCAGTCCATCAGTTAACATCTGGAGAAGACAAAAGCTGAAACACATCCAGCATTAAGATGTTTTTAACTAAAATACGTTGAGTCCATAATCCATAATAACTCTTCCTGCAGTGAAAAAGTGTTCTGGTGTGAATCAGGAGAGAAATCTGCACAGATCAAGCAGTGTTTAAACAGCTCTAAACTAATATGTGGCTGGATCTTGATGCAAGAGACAACAGCAGATGCACTTTTTCACTGCAGGAAGAGTTATTATCGATTATAGACTCTATGGTATTTTAGTTAAAAACGTCTTAATGCTGGATGTGTTTCAGCTTTTGTCTTCTCCAGATGTTAACTGATGGACTGGAGTGCTGTGGATTACTTGTGGATTATTGTGATGTTTTTATCAGCTGTTTGGACTCTCATTCTGACGGCACCCATTCACTGCAGAGCATCCATTGCTGAGACACTGATGCAATGCTACATTTCTACAAACCTGATGAAGAAACAAACTCATCCTAATCTCGGATGAACTAAGGGTGATCATATTTTCAGCACATTTTCATTTTTGAATGAACTATTCCTTTAACAAATATAGGAGTTAGTTAACCATAACTAGTCGTGCCATGCTTTACCAGTGGTAATAT